GTGCCCCTCGGCAGCAGCCGTTAACATCCCTAGTGTAGGCAGTCTCTGTGCTGGGTACCCGCAGTAAAGTGGGGCTGATCTAGGGTGACCAGATAGCAACTGTGAAAAATCGGGACGGGGGTGGGAGGCAGTAGGTGCCTATGTAAGAAAAAGCTCCAAAAATTGGGACTATCCCTATAAAATCGGGACATCTGGTCACTCTAGGCTGATCTGTCGCTGGCACCCCTTGGCAGCAGTAATTAATGTCCATGGTGTAGACACAGCCTCTATGCCGGGCACCCCTCAGAAAAGTGGGGCTGATCTGTCGCTGTCACTCCTCTGTAGTGGAGATTAATGTCCCTGGTGTAGATGCAATCTCTGGCTTATCCTCCTGCTCTGTAAAGTGGGCCTGATCCATTGCCCCCTGGCAGCAGTGGTTAATGTCTCTAGTGAATGGCAATATACAAAAACCTGTAGGAGAACACTTCAACCTCCCTGGCCACACAATAGCAGATGTTAAGGTAGCCATCTTACAGCAAAAAGACTTCAGGACCAGACTCCAAAGAGAAACTGCTGAGCTCCAGTTCATTTGCAAATTTGACACCATCAGATCAGGATTAAACAAAGACTGTGACTGGCTATCCAACTACAGAAGCAATTTCTCCTCCCTTGGTGTTCACACCTCTACAGCTAGCAGAGCACCTCACCCTCCCTGATTGAACTAACCTCGTTATCTCCATACTGATTTATACCTGCCTCTGGAGATTTCCATTACTTGCATCTGAAGAAGTGAGGTTCTTACCCACGAAAGCTTATGCTCCCAATACTTCTGTTAGTCTTAAAGGTGCCACAGGACCCTCTGTTGCTTGTCTCTAGTGTAGATACAGCTGTGCAGTACAGAGGGGCCCAGCTGATCTGCACAGCCCAAGGGTGTCCTGCAGATTGGCAGCTCTGGGAAACGGGAAGCACTGTCTTACCGTTATGTGTATTACTGTAGATAGCTCTCAGGAATCCCAGTCATGGACCAAGGCCCCATTATGTCAGGTGCTGTATAAACAGAACAAAAAGACAGTCTCTGTCCCAAAGAATTTACAGTCTAAGGCCTGGTCTACACCTAAAAATTAAGTCAACCTAGCTATATTGCTCAAGGGTGTGAAAAACTCCTCTAGGAGATGTAGGTAAACTGACCTAAGTCCCATGGTAGATGCTGCTAGGTTGACAGAAGATTTATTCTGTCAACCTAGTTACTGCCTCTCAGAGAGGTGGATTTACTACAGGGATGGAAAAAGCCCTTATGTGGCTGTAGCAAGTGTCTGAGACGAGAGATAATACATAGATACAGACAGACCGGGAAGTATGAGGAAACAGTGAGCTAGGGGAACACTTAAAAGTTAAGTCAACCGAGCAGCGTCGCTCAGAGGTGAACAATCCACCCCCTTGAGCAATGTAGATAAGCAGACCTAACCACCGGTGTAGACAGTGCTAGGTCAACCTAGATACTGCCCTTCAGGAAGGGGATTAACTATGGTCATGGGAAAACCCCTCCTGTCACTCTACTGAGTGGCTACACTGAAGCTTGTAGTTGTGCTGCTGTAGTGTTTCAAGTGTAGACCAACCCTGAGACAAAATTGGTCAGTGTGATGTACAGTGGCCTCAGCATGCCAGCAGCCTAACTTGTCAAGTGTTTGGTAGGCATCATGGCAAAGGAGAGTTTGAAAGAGAACAATGAAATAGCTTTGAGGATGTTTATATAGAGAACCTCCCAAGCATTAGGGGCAGCATGGGAGAAAGTGTGAAGCTGCTTATCTGAAGTGTTCAAGTATTTTATCATTAAGCTGCAACTAATCTGATTCATTGGTATGTAATAACAGTTCAGTGAACACATTTGTCCCAGTTTCTACATGTTATATACTCCATCTTTGAATGGGAGCATAACAAATATTTAAGCTGACAATTGTAGGAGGGAAGGTTAACTGTAGTGGAGGGTTATGGGTGTTAATAATACTTAGTCAGATTTTCAAAGTATATCAGTATTCTCATGCGCAAACATAGTGAGCTATGGAGATGGTCAGGGTGGATTTGATTTAAATCATGGAAGACTCGATTTAATCATGGTTTTCTACATAAAAGTGCATTCTTGGTGGTGGTTATAACCTTAATACATATTCTTCACAACTCAGAGATAGATGTAGGTTTCCTTTTTAGAAGGTACACACTATACATTTTTAAACAGTGATTTGTTTTGAAAACTTTTCAGATTAGTTTTAAAGCTATATCAAAAAATGAATGATTGTTTGGTTATTTCATTTACCAAAGGTAATTGAAGCTGATATTTATGAAGTCATTGGGAGGTGAACTATCTCCAATTCAACAGATTAATCATTAATATTTGGAGGATTTCTTGCCATGCTGTATTAGGAGGAGAACATCACCAGACAGACATTTAAATTGTTTTATTTAACTAAAACAACAGCGTTAAGTATTCTGGATTTTTTTTCTTCAACATCAAACATATAATATTTTAACAAAACAAACATATGTCCCTCGCTTCTCACATTTATCTCCAGACCTCTTCTCCTTGTCCAGATCTATTCCACCCCCAACAATCTTCTATTCATTGAACTTTTTGAAACTTTGCACTTTTAGAGAGAGGTAAGGGATTGACTCTGTGTACACAAATTTGTAGAGGGACAACAGAGCTGAGGTCTGTTAATTCTCACCAATATATATTATTTATTTATTTAAAAACATTTTTGCTGTTAACAAGCATGTTACCTCTGGAGAGACAAATCCACAGTTTGAGAACTGCAAAACTAAGCATCTCTGATGGTATCATCTAGACTGAGCACCGAGTCCCATTGGGTAGATAGAAAGATTAACCTAAATAATCTATACAGAAGCCTGTGGAACCCCATAAAATTTGGTCCCTAATCCATGAACTACTGGAACTCATTTACAAAACTTTTCTTAAACATGACATGAATATATTGTCTCATACTATAGAATTGGAATTTATAATCCCTATTCCATGATGAGATATCTTTGAACTATAATGTATCTAGATAGGTTTTTTCCTCAAAAAGTATTTTATCAAAAAAATCCGATTTAAATAAAAAAAATCAGATAAAAAATAAATCATTGATTTTTATCCACCCTGGAGGCGGTGTTTTAGTGCACTAGCCAGTTCTCAGTCCAACAGTGTATGTACAGTAGTGCTCATTAAAGTGAAAGGGAAGCGTCTGTACAAAAGGACTGCAGGATCTTACAAAGTCTCTCATCCCGATGACTCCGCACAGACTAGAAGAGAAAAAAATCTTGCCTATCACTTACTAAAGGACAGTAGCTTTCAAAAATGTACTGAATGGTTACTTAATCCATGTGACTTCCCCCCGCCTCCCATGTTTTATCCACAAAAACTGGGGGTAAAGGTGTTTTTTAAGCATGTCTGTAATGTGAAAAATATGAACTTCCAGGAATTTGATAGTCTGGGCTTGATTCTGCTTTGTTACCCAGTACATATTGGGACTAACTCTATTATAAAACTGGAGTGAGATGAGAATCTGGCCCTCCGTCCAGTGTGGGTAGATTTTTCTTCCCCAAGCCCAAATGGTAAAAGTAGCTCAGTGTTAGTTATGGAGAAAGAGCTATGTTAAAAAAACTCCCCTCCTCCCCCCCAAAAGTACTGAATGCTGTTTACTATTAAATATTAATCTGTAAATAGAAATGAACTCCCTAAATGCAATTTCCTAGGGACTGTTTAACATTTCTTTAGTCTGGTGCTGAAGGAGAGCGACACTATATAAATATCTCCATTCTTTTCTTTCCCTATGCTTCTCTCTTTACAGATGATGCAGGGGGAACAGAGTCCAGCTACTTCCCTCATTGACAGAACCATCAAGATGAGGAAAGAGACTGAAGCCAGGAAAGTAGTTTTGGCTTGGGGACTCCTTAATGTGTCAGTTGCAGGCATGATTTATACTGAAATGTAAGTTCCCGAACCGTTTTAAAACTTAATCAATAAAAGGATGTCATTATGTTCCTAGATATTTCCATGTACTGTGGGTCAGAGAGATGCCAACTCAATTTTTTTTCTCTTTCAGGACTGGAAAACTGATAAGTTCATATTATAACATTACATACTGGCCACTGTGGTATATTGGTAAGTGATTGTACTTGGTGATAGTTTACTTATGTGAGGAAACATAAGTTGTTTTCTTTATGTCGGTATTTGAAAATTTTTAACCCGCTTTTTGATCATACAAAAATCGGACTTGACTTTCCATGTCCAGTTTGGATCTGTCTGGGATTATCTCCTGTGACAAACTTGCAGCAAAAAAGGCTTATCTGTTATCTTAGATCAAATTGCATGTGTGTTGAGGCTTTACGTGGTGCTATAGGTGTGTTTTACATTTCCTGTAGTAGTTAGACAAAGCTCTTTTTTTCAAGACACTTACAATCTAAATGAGAGAGATGAAACTAACAAAGGATGAAAATGAAGAGTGGGAATAGACACGTAAGAGATCAGTGATAGCAAACCTTCAAAAAGGCTGGATTTGAGGAGAGGGAGTTGTAGGTTGTTCTGAACCTGGGGATGATATGAAAATGAAAGCATGTCGCAGCTTTAGGGAAAATTGCTTCAGATTCCTTAAACTCAGTGATGTGTTATCATGTCATGCATGTTGATATGTAAATATAATACCATGTTAACTAAATGTAAACTAAGCTAACTTGGGTATTGATTTACAGCCCTTTAAGCATAACTTGTTTTTTCAAATGGTGGAGTTACACTTGTAACCTTTAGAGATGTCAGCTGGTCTAGATTCCAAAATCTACTTTCTCTAAAGAATGTGAAGCTTATAAAGCAGCCCTTTGTTTATGTATGTGATGTTTTTAATTCACTTGTATGATTAAAATATTAGTCTCAAATATATAAAACCTGTCTCCAAAGTTCTTGCATAAAATATGTCCCTGACCATCTTAGCTAATAAGTGTTGATCCTCCATGAACTTATCTAATTTTTTTTTTTAATCCTGTTACACTTTTGGTCTTCACAACATCCTATGGAAACGAGTTCCACAGGTTGACTGTGCATTGTATGAAGAAGTGCTTCCTTATGTTTGTTTTAAACTTGCTGACTATTAGTTTAACTGGGTGACCCTTTATTCTTGCATTATGTGAATGGGTAAATCACACTTCCCTGTTCACCTTCTCCATACCATTCATGATTTTTAAAGACCTCTGTCATATCCCCTCCCCATAGTCGTCTCTTTTCTAAACTGAGCAGTCCCAGTCTTTTTAATCTCTCCTCATATGGAAGCTGTTCCATACCCCTACTCATTTTTGTTGCCTTTCTCTGTACCTTTGCCAATTCTAATGTACCTTTTTTGAGATCAGGCAACCAGAACTGCAGGTAGCATTTAAGGAGTTGGTGTACTATGGATTAATATAGTGGCATTATGATGTTTTCTGTTTTATTATCTGTCCCTTTGCTAATGGTTCCTAACATTCTGTTAGTTTTTTGGGCTGCCGTTGCACATTGAGTGGATGTTTTCAGAGAACTATCCATGATGACTCCAAGATCTTTCTTGAGCGGTAACAGTTTATTTAGACCTCATCACTTCGTGTATATATAGTTGGGGTTATGTTTTCCAGTGTGCATTACTTTGAACTTATTGACAGTTAATTTCATCTGCCGTTTTGTCGCCTAGTCACCCAGTTTAGTGAGATTCCTTTATAACTCTTTGCAGTTCGCTTTGGACTAGGAATGTAAATATCGTTTTAAAAAGTACCCGTTTAAACTATTAAAATTATATTGGTTAACCGTTTTAATCGTTACGTTCACAGTCTACATTTTACATCCATACTTTGGACTTAACTATCTTGAGTAGTTTTGTATTGTCTGCAAATTTTGCCACCTCACAAGTCACCCATTTTTCCAGATCATTTACAAATATGTTGAACAGCACAGGATCCTTGGGGGACCCTGCTATTTACCTCTCTTCATTGTGAAAACGGATCACTTATTCCTACCATTTGTTCCCATCTTTTAACCAGTTACTGATCTATGAGAGGACCCCCCTTATCCCATGATTGTTTATTTTGCTTAAGAGCTTTTGGTGAGGGACCTTGTCAGGCTTTATGAAAGTCCAAGGACACTCTATCCACTGGATCACCCTTGTCCACATGCTTGTTGATCTCCTGAAAGAATTCTAAATAGATTGGTGAGGTATGATTTCCTGGTATAAAAGCCGTGTTGACTCTTCCCTAGTATGTAGTGTTCATCTATGTGTCAGATCATTTTGTTCTTTACTATAATTTCAACCAGTTTGCCTGGCACAGAAGTTAGGCTTACTGGCCTGTAATTGCCAGGATTGCCTCTGGATCCTTTTTTAAAAATCGGCGTTACCAATTATCTGGTACCGAGGCCGATTTGAGTGATAGGTTACATACCACAGTAGAAGTTCCGCAATTTCATATTTGAGTTCCTTCAGAACTCTTGGGTGATTACCATTGGGTCCTGGTGACTTATTACTGTTTAGTTTATCAATTTGTTCCAAACCTCCTCTACTGACATCTCAGTCTGGGACAATTCTTCAGTTTTGTCACTTCACTAGAATGACTTGGATGTGGGGATCTCCTCCATATCCTCTGCAGTAAGGACTGATGCAAAGAATTAATTTCGGTTTTCTGCAACGGCCTTGTGTTCCGTGAGTGCTCCTTTAGCACCTTGATTGTCCAGAAGCGCCACTCACTGTTTGGCAGGCTTCCTGCTTCTGATGTACTTAAAAATATATATATATATTACTATTTAGTTTTGGTGAATAATTCATCTTTCCAAAATGATACAAAGAATATACAGTGACTTTTACCATGATAGTGTTTATATCAGTAGAGTGGGAAAACAACATGAGAGTCAAAGAGACAAGGTGGGGAGGTAATTTTCTGGACCTCTGTAAGCTCAAAAGCTTTTATTGGACCAACAAAAGTTGGTCCAATAAAAGATATTACCTCACTCACCTTGTCTCTTTAATATCCTGTGACCAACATGGCTACAACAACACTGCATACAGCATAAGATGTTAACAGTTATTGATTTTGTAAATGGTGAGCAATTTAAGAACACTCTAAAATATAAAGAACTAACTTGTTAAAATAATGGTTTTTGTTTTTTTTGTTCTAGAACTTGCACTTGCATCTTTGTTCAGTCTGAATGCCTTATTTGATTTCTGGAGGTATTTCAAATACACGGTGGCACCAACTAGCTTAGTTATGAGTCCTGGACAGCAGACCCTTCTTGGGCTTCAGAATGCATGTAAGTTATCTCTGGCAGTACTCTTTAAAATGGTGTCTACAACTGAGTTTGTAAATGTTTAACCTTCTGAACAGACCGTCATAGGTCTCAACCTGGCATGGGCCTCCAAACAAACACAAATGTCTAGAAAAAGAAGAGAGATGCAGTCAATAACTTCTGAAGGGTAGGAGTGCTGATTCAGAGAGCATTTTGATTGACTTCACCTTACTGCTCCCTGCAGATGGGGTAGCTAGGAGAAGTGGAATGAAAATTCAGAAGATCAAGAAGTTACTTGATTACTGTGTACCAGTAACTTCATGAAAGGAAGTATTGAGTGATAAAGGGCTCTTTACTTTAGTAGAGAAAGGCATAACAAGAACCTATGGCTGGAAGCTGAAGCCAGACAGAGTTAACTTAGAAATAGGGAACACATTTTTAACAGTGAGGGTGACTGACTTTGGAACCAACTACTGAAGGAAGTGGTGGATTCTCCCTCTCTTGATGTCTTTAAATCAAGACAGAATGCCTTTGTGGAAGATATTCTTCAGTCAAACACAAGTTATTGGGGTCAGTATAGGTCAGGGGTTCTCAAACTGGGAGTTGTGACCCCTCAGGGTGTCGCGAGGTTATTACATGGGGGGTGATAAGCTGCCAGCCTCCACCCCAAACCCTGTTTCACCTCCAGCCTTTATAATAGTGTTAAATATATATATTTTTTAAAAGTGTTAATTTGTAAGGGGGGGGTCGCACTCAGAGGCTTGCTGTGTGAAAGGGGTCACCAGTACAAAAATTTGAGACCCACTGGCAATGGGGTAATTGGGTTAAATGATATTGCCAGTGTTAGGAGGTCAAAGTAGATGATTGCATGGACCCTTCTGTCCTTAATCTATGGATCTGTATCACTGCTTCCAACATCTGCAAACGAATGCATATATCTAAATGGTTCATAGTGTCTCTTCCATCTTTGACTTCTGATCTAGAGCAGTAGAGAGTGGGGGAGCCAGGGGAATTAGCAAAAAATTACTTGAGGGAAGATAATCAGGGAACAGGAGAAGAAGCAATAATGATAAAGAACAAACAAAACAAAAAAGACAGGAGAAAAGGGTGGATGGTGGAGTGTAGGAGACAAAAGCAATGAGAGAAGTTCAAACTCTATCGTGGATGGGCTAGGGCGTAGTCCCCTATGTGTGGGACTGGGGAGGAGGCGCAGATGGAGGGTTTATGTTTAAATCAGTCATCATAGTAATCTACACACTGGGTAAAATTAGCCATGTTAGAGAGAAACCTTAATGCAAAGTCTAAAAATGACAAACTAAACGTCAGTCCCTTCATAAAATATTTTGAGTTTCTAAACAAATTTCTAAGAAACAGAAGAACATGACAAATTAGATGTACCAAATGTGGAATGTCAGTACACTACTACCACACTCGACCAATCTGACCTCTGATTGCAGAAAGATGCCATCAGGTTGGAGGGACTTCATAGGAAAGCATCAATAAAGATCAGGAGCATAGAAAAACATCAGTAATGATTGTGGCGTAGTGTGATTGATTTATGTGCAAAGATTAAAACTTGTGTAACTGGACTAAACTATGAAGCGAATATATCAGTCCATGAGTATTGAAACTCTTAGGAGATGGCGTGTATAGGTAGGGTTAATAAAATGAAGTTAAAAAGGGAAACTTTCTCAAAGAACCTGACTGAAGCTCCTTACTAGAGAAATTTTAAATTAGATATGCCTATAATAGTGCTCTGTGCAAAGCACTCTCTTGCTGTTGTATCTAGGCACAGTACAAGGGTTTTAAAACAGCAGGGTCCATCCATAAGGAACAACCTCATAAAGAGTAGGAAATGTTCCTGCATTGACCATAGGGAAGGACTGGATGTGACTTAATAGGTCTCTCATTATGTGTGTTACTATTATTTGTGTATACTGCTATGTTTGTAATAGTAAAGTGCCTAGAGGTCCCAGCTGAAATCAGGGCCCTGTTGAGCTAGACTGTATATAAACACATAGTAAGATAATCCCTGCCCTGAAGTGGTTTCAGTCTAAATAGGTAGGATAAAGGATGGAAGAAAGAGAGTATTCTTATTCCCACTTTGCACATGGAGAACTGAGGCACAGAGGTGTAGTGACTCACCCAAGGTCACACAGTGTGTCTGCGGCAGAATTTAACCCAAATCTTCTGAGTGGCAGTGCAGTTCCCGAACCACAAGACCATTCTTTTACTCTGTCACAGCTCTAGTTTCTATGCTTGTGACTTGGCTGCTGAATGTTATAGGTCTGAGATTTCTTTCAAATCTCCTTTTCTGGTCTCAATGTAGGATTTTCTTAAGATAGTAAAGAAATGAAATAACAGTTAAAAAAATTATCCAGACTGCTGCTCCTTCAGCCCTAATTCTGCTTTTTTTTATTACAGCAGTACAAACAACTCCGCCCCGTGAGCTAGTGACAAAGAAGGTCCCTTCTTCAACACCTTCTCCTCCAATCCTGGGTCAGAGCGTGCTGAGTTACAGCCCATCCCGCTCACCTAATACCAGCCCAAAGTTTGCCACTGGTTGCATGACTGGGTACAGCCCTCAGCTACAGGTTTTGTCAGGCAGCAGCGGTTCTTATAGCACTGCTGTGACCTACTCACCAAACAGCAGCTACAGTAAGGTAATAGCCTTGATAACCCAATGTAACAAGTTGGAATTTGCTTATTAGATTGCTTGTATTGTGCCCTACATTGCAGAACCTGATTCTCCAGTAGCTTGCACACCTTGTGTATTTATTTACACCTTTTGCACAGCAGGTGTAAAATTTTACCCAACAGGCATTCTCTAGTCTCCCACTGGTGATGGCATTTTTTTCACTTTGCGCCACCTGGCAGGTGATGCAGTAAGAATTTAAATAAACCAACCAGCAACTGAAACATACTAAAGCCAAAGTGGCGTCTAGTTTAACAGTAACTAGCAATGCAATAACAAGTTGGATAAATGAGGATAAATACATTAATTTTGTTTCCAAATTGAAACTAATAAATAGAATTCCAGCTTTACAAAATAACACAATCACTCACTCTATTTCCCACAGGTATCCAGCTTCAATCCCTCTCCTGGTGGCTCACCATACCCCACCAGCATTGGACCAGTGGAAAGCAGTGGGCTGAGGTCTCGGTACCGTTCTTCGCCAACTGTGTATAACTCCCCTATTGGCAAAGAAGACTATATGACAGACCTAAAGTCCTTGGACAGCTTCCTTCAAAGTGAAGAAGAGAAGCAACATCGAGTTCAGCTGGGTAAGTCAGTAGCTCTGTTTGGTCTAAAAGTTGTTGTTTTTTTAAGTGCATTTGTGGGATGGTACTCCAGTTCTTCTGGTGTAAGGTTTGGCACATCTGTGCCAATCTTAATGAAATGAACTTAAGTCATTTGCACAGAATCCATCTCTTAACAAATCCCTGTAGAAGGCACAATCTGAAGACTGATGCAGAACAAGTTAAGTCTTTTACTGAATAGTCTAAGTGAGATGTGAAGCAGAGCTCCATGACTTCTACAGCCCTTTGCAACACAGAAGCCTTGGGGAAACTTTCCAGAGAATAGAGCCTTGTGTTATAGATAGAAATGTACAGCTGTTGACACTCTGGAGACAACTCATGGATGTCTATAAATGACAAACTACACCTCTACCTCGATATAACGCTGTCCTCGGGAGCCAAAAAATCTTACTGCGTTATAGGTGAAACTGTGTTATATCGAACTTGCTTTGATCCGCCGGCGTGCACAGCCCCGCCCCCCCCCAGAGCACTGCTTTACTGCGTTGTATCAGAATTCATGTTATATCGGGGTAGAGGTGTATATCTGTATAGGACTTACTGGCCTACAGTAAAGAGCCAGGGCCTTCATCTTGACAAGAGCTGTGGCCTGTGGAGACGGCATCTCAGATCAAGATGCCAAGTAATCCGCAGGTGACCTGTGTCCTGAAGACACTTTTTATTATTGAGATGACAGTGACTAATAATATTTTACATAGACTGAGTTTGGCATTTGGTTCATCGCAACTTGTGGATGGCGTCCCTCCAGTCAAAGCCTAAATGCTCTGACCTGTCATCTGTACAGGAACCTCACACTGCTTAAAAATTGTTTGGCAATCAACATGGAGTAATTTGTTTACTGAATGGATAATTTCAGGGAGTTCAGATTCCAGTTCTCCTTCCAGCAGTCCGACTCTCTGGAACTACAGCCGTTCCATGGGAGACTATGCACAGATGCTGAGGAAGTTCCAGTACCAGCTGGCCTGCAGGTCCCAAGCCCCATCAGCACACAAAGATGAAGCTGATCTGAGCTCTAAGCAAGCTGCGGAAGAGGTAAATAGAAAACTCGAGGGAAAAAGATACAGTTGTGAATTTTTTGCAATCTTCTGCAAGGATTTGGATGTGTCTCCCATTCACATTACTGGAAAGAGAGGCGATAAATCCCATAGCATTGAATTGCCTTCATATAATTTATACAAATATTTTCTTACTACAAATTTATATTCCAAACTTCAATCTGAACTAGTTCGTTGTACATTGCCTTCACCAGTAGAGGGCAATTATAAATTTGTTTGGGGTAAAAAAAGTGACTTCTGACCAAACACTTCTGGATATATCTGCTGTATAGAATTTTATAGTTTATTAGTATTCATTTTGTGAGCAGTGGTGGGAAACAATAAACATAGATTTAACCTTTTCCTGTCTTAACCAGTTTCTCACAAACACCTTAATTATGTAGTAATATATAACAATTCTAGATATAGTAGTTCAGTCTGGAGTTCAAAAACTAGTAGTTTAACTGCGTTCTTGGACTTAGTGATGTTGAGAAATCTTCTCTTCTGCCATTTTATACTATGGATAAAAGTGTTTGTAACAGTAACAATTAACTGCATCTAGTGCATTTCAAGCAGCTGAATGTATATTGAAAATCCTCTGTTTCACCTGTACGTGCTCAGTGGATTTTGTGAGACACATGGAGAAGAGTACTGCACATCTGACTTTAGTGTGGCCAATAGGAGTAGCTCTTAACTTGCCTGTCTTTTAATTAAATGTTACCCCTTTTCTCTACCTTGCACACTGATTTAGTGTAACTTTCCATTAACTTGAACCTTTTCTAGAAATCCTACTAGCTTAGACCAGTTTTATCCTAATACAAATAGCTATGGGTACCAAAATGGTGCATCTGGACTTGGTGTGTTAAACTAACTGGTATATAGTCCTCATGAAATGCCCTGTGAGATATGAACATTCTAAAACCTAGCTGGGGCTTATGATGGGCACGCTATAATTAGTATCAATAAGATGGCTTGGCCTCTAAAAGCCGTATTGCGTTCAGCTGGGTTCCTACATCTTTGCAATAAGTCTCTTAAACTACTTAACTTTTTAGGTTTGGTTGAGGGTGATAATGAATCGACAACTACTCAATCATGTGGACTCATGGACAGCTAAGTTCAGAAATGTAAGTCCTATCATTGCTCTTTAGAATCTAATATTTTAGTATCCTGTCCTTATTTCTGCGGAACTCAGAGCTAGAAAATACATGAGTACATCATCATTTGCCTCAGCCTTAATGGAACTGAGCTATGGTATAAACTTGGTAGGGTGTAATACTTCCTTAATGATCTTTGATTTGTAACAGAACTCTTGCTTTTTGATCTAATTGTATTATATTAGAATGGGGGGGGGGGAGAGAAATTGAGTTGCCACATGTGTACCTAAGATTGTAGAAAGAACTACAGAGTGTATTTGAGGATTAGCATATGGCTGTGTAACTAGCAACTAACACAAAGCATGCTCACAAGGGAGCGATATTAAGGTTACACGTTCAACCTTAACTCCTGCACTTGCTGACTTTTGTGCTATGACATCCTGGAAACTTCAAATTGTAAAGTTCATACCAATGAAAATGGGTAGACTTGTTTTTCCCTTTTCCACAACTCAACCTGCTGACTCTGTTTTCCTCAAACATTTCAAAATAACTCACCTGGGCTGACCTGAAGCATGGAAAATCCCATCCCCAAGGTTAAAATTTTCCAAAAGGTCTGAACAGCTGAAAAGTTAGAATGAAAATCCTGACCTAATCTGACTTTTAAGAACTGTTATTTCTGCTATTGCTATTGCAGACCTAACTACACTTCAAGGTAAAAGTATTAGGTAATCAAATAACAAACTACTCAACACACCGCTTGTTGGAATTCATGGCACTCCCCAGGCATGTTTGTTTGTTAAGCCAATAATATCCATGAAAAGCTCAAGTGTTCACAAATAATATATTTCTATCGGCACCCTTCTTCCTTAAAACAGTCTGTGGGAATTATGGACACATGCAAGCATAAATTAAGAGTTTGTGGATGACTTGCTGGTCTTCATACCATTACTCCCCTCACCATCCAAAAAGTCTGTATCATGGTCTAGAAATGTTATCTAGAACTCACTCATTGAACTTTTTAAATAGTCATTCAAATCCTACCATAACCTGAGAGTCTATTTACTTAATAACTTTGTATATCTCTTCTGCTTCCTTAAATGTTTGTTGTTCACCTTTTCTATTTTGCAGTCATAACAGTAATTCAGATACTGATTAGGGTATAGTAACATTTCACACAGACTTCCTGTTGCTGCTTATCTTTTTAATTGTCTACCTTTCTCTCCTCTTCTAGTGGATTAACGAGACTATTTTAGTGCCACTTGTGCAAGAGATTGATTCTGTGAGCACTCAGCTGAGAAGAATGGGGTGTCCAGAGTTGCAGATTGGAGGTACTGTATGGAGATACTGTAATAGATTTGTAAAAAGCAACAGAGGGTCCTGTGGCACCTTTAAGACTAACAGAAGTATTGGGAGCATAAGCTTTCGTGGGTAAGAACCTCACTTCTTCAGATGCAAGAAGAATAGATTTGGTATTTGTAATAGATTTGGTTCAGTTCTCATTAGTACCTGTGCTCAGGATGAAAATTTCCAGACAGAAAAGAGTGTTCTTTGCAACCTTAAGAACTAGAAACAGTTTTTTTTTTTATGAGAGAGCTTGGATTATACAGCAACTTCCACAGGTGCAGAATTGCAGAAAACACAGGAACCTTGTTACAGCTGCATCAGTGAGAGGACTATGTTCATTCCAATTGAGCCTCCTGAGGCAAATCCCTTAATAAGACAATAACCTGGTGTTTGATCTCTAACTGGTAGATGCTCTTATAGCTGCTAGCCTGGATTCTATCTTCAGTTAAACTGGTGTTTAATCTGAAGTAATTCCACTTATTTGCATTGTTACATCAAACTTGCACCAATTTAACTGAGAGCAGAATTTGGCCTTCTATTTTGTAGGCTACTTAAGCTTTAATCTCTCCTTAAAACCCACTTCTGCTGTGACACGTATGAGAAATTAACCAACTAAAAATGGCTAGATGGAGAGGCAGTTAGGAATCTGCTATATACTTAGTCAAATGCAACACTAGAAACTTTGTCGTATCCCCTTTTCCCACCAGTATAAGTGTCTTTTGTCTCATAGGATGCAAGGTTTTCAGGACAGGGACTGTCTTCCTGTATGTGTGGTGCCTAGCATGTTTTGTATGCTAGGATGATGTAAATAATACAGACTCAATCTTTCTCCCAGTGAAGTAAATGTAGGAGTAAACTTCTCTAGGATCAGAATTTGGTATTTGGCAACATCAGTAGTGATGTAGTGTGCCAACTATTCCTAGGACCCAGCTTCTCAGAGTGCAACAGGCAAGCAAGCGGAACAGAATGTGTCAATTCTTTGTAATAGTCTGTTAATAAGCTTCTGAGTAAGTGAGGATGTTCAGTGTTCTGCTATGGCCATAGATCATATGTGCTGGTGTTCTTTTGTATTGCAGAAGCCAGTATTAGCAGTCTGAAACAAGCCGCTCTTGTTAAAGCTCCACTCATCCCCACACTGAACACTATAGTGCAGTACCTGGACCTTACACCAAACCAGGAATATTTGGTTGAAAGGATCAAAGGTAAATGGTCATCATGCACACTTAAAATGTGCTTCATTACAGTTCTCATGCGTCAGGTGTTAGTGATGTTGAACACTGTCAACAAGACCTTTGAACTTGTGTATTTCCACTACTTGAAAAGCAGCCCCTCCTTCATACCTGCTGAGACCCAAGTATTGGTGATTTTCTACTCTTGTTTAAAGTGACTTAATGATGTGGGATCGTAATATAATTTACAATACTCTTAAAACAAAAGCTTTGTCACTCATTCACCTTTTGAATGGGTGTTCTGGAAACTCATTGTTGGCTTTAATCAATCTCTTCTCTTACTACTTTATCACTCCCTGATTTCATTCCAAATAAAAATGAGTTTTAGGATTTAAATCTTTTTTTAAATCCTGATGGTGATTTTTAAAATTTGCTTTGCAAGTGTTTCTTGCATGCTTTTCTCATGTATACAGCACCATAAATATGCATGATGTCTGAAACAGACATAGTAGATTTCCTTCTTCCACTTCCATCTCCAACCTTGCCCCAAAATAACTTCATATAAACTCTGTTGCCTTTAGAACTTTCTCAGGGAGGATGCATGAGCTCATTCCGATGGAACAGAGGAGGGGACTTCAAGGGCCGTAAATGGGATACTGATTTGCCCACTGATTCTGCTGTAAGTTTGCATAGTTGTGTTTGATGAGACTTAAAACGCATTATTTTTCAGTGCTAGTAGTAGGAATACGAAGTAGAGATACAGCTTGTGAATCTCTTGAGGAACATGATCCAAATCCTGCACACCTCATTTACCCAAGTAATCCCATTGCACTCAGTGAGATTACTTGGTAGAATTATGTAAACCAGATCTAGCCCCATATAGATCACAAAAATAATGTTGTTGTGTATCTTAATCTTACGTCACTCTTATTTAGACATAATTGAAATGCCTGTTGAATAGCTGTGGTGGGTGTAGCCTGACTTGCTCTGACCTCTCTACTGCAGTTGTTTTTCTACATTCAGACACAAATAAGTAATCATCTGCATTCAAATGAATCGTCTATAAAATAATGCCTAATACAGGAACAAATTATTAAATGACTTCACCTTGATTAAATGTCTAATTTCAGTTCTCCAAAGCAGATTGCAAAGTAAACAGACATGAAAGAATAATAAACATGGATTGAGTGGCCCTGTGCCCATTTAATTGAATATTGTTTAAATCCTAAATGACTAACTCAAAGGAGTAAATAATCTAGTTAGAGAGAGAGACTCTCAGTGTGGCTCAGCCGAGCAACCTGAAAGGTCAGAGGATAAGTGTTTCTCAACAGAAACAGTAACATGTACTTGAAAATAGTGAATTAAAATATTACTTCAGTTGTCAGAAAACTGACATACCCTAGATACAAAGAATAATGACACATAGCTGAGTGACACAATTCTGAGGATTTACTTTTCTTGCTGTCTGTGCAAGAAAAGATAGCTGAAGTCCTGCCTTGAGTCAAGTAGGAACCTACCAGTTCTTAAGGGAAAGCACTCGTAGTCATGGGGTAGGACATCACATCCTGTAATTGAGCATTTTTTTCCCCCTCCGACAAACAGCCAGATGAGATGCCATTGGAGACTATATTGAATATCTAAATACTAATAAGACAAGACTAGTTCTCACAAATCATCCTAAACTTCTGTAAACCCCTGAATGAGTTACTAGTTTAAAATATATTAAATGTATATTGAGGAAATGTTAAAATTGAAAACGTCAAGACAAAAGTCAACAAATGCAAAATTGTAGTATATGCAATATGACTGTTACTGTAAGAACCTTAACATTGAGTATATATTTAACACTAACATACAGTAGGTAGAGTTTCGTTTTATCTGCTTGCCACTCTTTACTGGTTCTAGCACTCTTCCCCGTATATAGGGTGTACTTGTTCAGACTGAGAGAGGTGGGCTTAAGTTTTACAAAAACCTCAATGTGAGTGTATACAGTTTGCCAAACCATGGTTGGTTTGAATCTGTCAATCTCAATCAAACCTTTCAAGTTAATGGGGGAGGAGGGAATGAGTTAAAATAAATATTCTGGTTTGGGGCCCACATTCGCTACTAAATTCTGCAACTTTGCATACAGCCATCTCTGGAAGGGAATGAATATGCCATATTGTGGCTGATGTCTTGTTGTTCAGCTGACAGATGAACCTTGACTTGTCAACATCTTACATAAATATTCTGGCCAATGTCAAGCGTTGGGCCACCGAGGAGAGTGGTTAAAGCACTCCACTGCTTTGTCCCTTTTTAAATTTGCTGGGGGTCAGTCAAAGCTGCAATAGGATCACTGTCCCTTGGATTCTGTAACGAGTATCTGAGACTGTTAAAGATTAACCGCTTTATTGTAGCAGTTGGTTCTACAATCTGTCTGATGGGCACTAAATTCTGATTTAATTTTTTCTTCAGATCATTATGCATGTGTTCTGCACTTACCTTGACTCCAGGCTGCCTCCTCACCCAAAATATCCTGATGGCAAAACATTTACCTCGCAACACTTCATTCAAACACCAGATAAGCCAGGTATTGGCATCCTTGGTCCCTTTGTTTGCTGGGATCGACTGCTTGGATCATGTCCTTCATGTCCATATTACCTCTTAAATTTCTATTCCTAGATGTTTCAAATGAGAATGTGATTTGCATCCACCAGAGCACCATCAACCCTCCCCACTATGAGCTTATCTACCAGTGCCAAGTCTACAATCTGCCCAAGGTATGAACATGGTGCTTTTCTTCTGATACCTCAAGAAAGCTACATACATTCTGAAAACTCTAACTGATGTTGATTGGTTATCTTTTTTGAGCAGTCAGGTTTATTGACAGGGAAATTGTCTTTGAATATAGCAACGGTCAGTGCAATGTACAAGGCAACATGTTACCTTGATCTAGTCATAGCCCTTGGCATATAAGTTGCTACTAAATAACACCATTACCATAAAGAGTCTCAGTAGAGTACCGAAGGCTGTATCTTCCCCTTGTTGCATGTTCTTTGATAAATTGCTAGTGTTTAAAATAAATAACTTAGACCCCAGAGGTCTATGTTAATTCTTCGGTGCCACAGATCTCGTGTCTCTTACCAGCAAAAGTCTGTGTTGGAAAAATTACCATTCCCAGAATCAAAAGCTTAAATTGATGCTGTTGGATCCCTGGTCAAAACTTGAGCCCTAGTTTCAGAAATGATCATCAATTCCTCTAGTCCTTAAAAGAGTGGAAGGTCATAATCCAGCCTAACAAATTTTCTCTTTTTGCATTTGCCCAGCTGGAGGATGTAAGCAGTGTCCCGAAACTAACTTAAGTCCTGGAGGTTCATTATGATGAAGAAGCCCATAATAATATTCCTTTGGTAATGGTTTCCCTTCTATAGCAGTTTCTCATCTCAAAATACTTTGCAGGTCAGCATACAAACTCCATAATGACATCTTGCCAGTGAAGTGCAGCCACCTCTGGAGTGGAATGTGACAGCTGTTTAACAGTGCTATTACACAAAAGCTTAGGACAGGAAGTGAAGGGTATTTTCTTTTAAATAAGAAATTGTGCAGAACTTTCAGACTGAATATTGTATGTATTACTTAATCTTCACCCTCTTCTCTTCCGGTGCGTTCAGGGCAGAAACAACATGTTCCATACCTTGCTTATGTTCCTGTGCATCATAAAGACAAAAGAATCTGGGATGCTCGGGTAGGTATAGAGTGCCATGAATCCCTGCATTTAATACAGGCTGAGAACCGTAACATTCCCTGTTGTAAATAAGCAGTTTAGCTGCATGTAGACTGATCTTAAGTTCCTGTAGAAACTATCTGTATTCTTCACTGTATGGCAATTTCTTGCTGGTCTGCGAACATCCTATTTCTTTCACTCCCCCCCACGCTCTCTTTTGGCTGCCTCCTACACTCTTATGTTAAATAACTTAAAACTTGCCATTTGCATTTCTAACAGAAATACAGAATAATATTCTTTCTCCTCAAGCACGAGACAGGGAAGTGTGAGGGCCCTTTTCTCCTTATGAACTAGGATATAAATCTACCTTAAAAACCTGACTCCACTTTCACTTTCCAGTAACAGCTAAAAGTTTGCATTTCAGGATGAGCTCTTCAAACACAAGAGCTTTACTCTGAACTTCCATGGGGAAAATCAAGCTCCTCAGTTCCTAAAAAGACTAATTCAGGGCAGCAAATGATGACTGACAATTAAATGCACTAAAAAAAGTACTATGGGGAATCATGCACCCTTATGTCCTACAGAAATCTGGGATAGGAGCACTTAAATTATGGGAGTTCTAAGGAGTATCAAATTGATTAAGCAAGGAAAATTAGCACACTAAAATGAAATACAAATTTGTTTTTAAAAGCTTCTTGTATAAGCCTCTAGGTGCATAAAGAGAGTTGCATTTTTTTGCAGGCTGACAATCTTTTGGAGCGCAAACTGTAGAATATTGGTCTCTTTAGTCACTGCCTGGCTAGATCCTGGCCTGAAATCCACTGCCATCGAGAAATATAGGTATAAGTAGATGCCATCATTAGCCACTAAACTTTGCTTTTGGAGCAGTATAAGAAATTTTGAGGGCAACTGTGCCTACGTTGGCATAAAAGTGAAGTCCAGACTTTCCCATTTAATTCCTGTGGGGTTGTACTCTGTTCATAGTGAAGCATAACTCCTAAATAGAAGGAACCTTTGGCAGGGATTGAAAGAACTGCTGGAGTCAGGGGCTTGCAACCTGTCCTGACAACTTTCTTTTATAACAAAACTTTGCTTTAAATGTAGGTTTGTGCTTATTGTTATTTTATTAGTATGACTTTGTCTTTGCAGGCGAGTAAATCTTGGCTTATCAGGAGTGAATGTTCTGTGGATCTTGGGAGACTAGTACATCATGGTTCACTGTGGATGGCCTCCACCGTCACATAGTGAGAAACAATTGTGCATCTCTGAGATAACTGAGCAGCTTATTACACTTGTGCCTTGAACATAAACCTACAACGATGTACTAGTGTGATATCCTGGTGAACATAGGATACGTTTACATTCAATACACTGTTCGCATGAGAACATGCTTCCAGCATTGAAATACTCCTACCAGCTCTTATTGCGCAAAGACGTCTCTTTACAACTTCCCACCTTCACAAGCCCCACTTTAAAAGCCTTCACCATTCTTCTGGCTGAGTTGCCCTCCAGAGGCCATCACTGCTGATACTTGAATTAGAAGCAACTCAACGGTACCCCTGCCAGCTTGGGGAATGAATTGTGAGCCCATCTCATCTACATGGCAAGGTAGAATACTACAGTGCAACTTGGACTGCCCTACTAAGGTTGTACACTGCTGCTTGGCACTTGTTACTTCAGTGCTGCCCCTTGAAAAATCAGTCACTGCCAAGTACAAAAATCAGTGTGGCCAAGTAGAAGATCCACATGCACCAGGAAATGCCACATAACCAGGATTCTCTTCAGCTTATGCAGAAAGGCTTGTGGCTAACCATCATTGGAGGACCAGTGTAGTGGGATTTTGTGGCACCACCACACTTTTAAAGTGACTGCACTGAAGGTGTAAGTGAAAGAAAACTTCAGACCCTACACACCAGTTAGACTATATTCTTATGAATCTTTTTTTAAACAAAATAATCCAATATCTTTTAAACTTGAGTGTGTTTGGGGCAACAAAACGTTGCTGATGTCTTGACTGAAATTGAAGTCTTGCCCGAATGTCCTTTATTTTTTAAAAAGTTCTCACATTAGTGTTTCTGGTATTAATCCCCTATTTTAGAGGTGTTTGAGCTGTAAAAAATTTACTCTAAAATGGAACGTAGCTTCAGTGTCTCTGCAAAAGAACAAAATCTTTACACTTAAATCAGGATGTCCTAGGAGTCCAAAGAGACATCCTCTCCTCCACCCCCACATAGCACCATATTGCTGTGAAGTTCTTTATAACCAAGGACAAACAGATGCAACCTGACCAGCGTTAGTCATTGGAGGGAGTTGAGGCTCTGCTGGTTTTTCCTGCCTGGGGCAAATAGCAATGACCCAGAAGCAAGAATCAAATTTATGACTTGAACTCCTATTCTGTATGGGTGGCACGTCACTTTAGATCCTCAGACCAGCCAACACCTTATTTTGAGAAAAAAGATGTTCTGCTCTAGTATGTATAATGATGCGGTGTCCCTGGATAAACCAACATGGGTGTTTTTTTTACAGTTATATAAGCAATTGCTTTGCAATGTAGACTAGTTGCTCCTTGGAAAAATTTGAGTTAAACTTGTTTTAAACAAAATGGATTCCTACATGTATGCCAAGGTTTTTCCCTATAGGGATGAAGGATCCATTGCAAATCCTGGTAACCAGGCAATTTTAAAAATGTGTGCTAAAGGTTCTTCTTTTAAAAAAAAAATAATATTGTGGGGACAATTTCAGAAGCCCTCCGGTAAGGGTAATGTTAAGGGTCCTCCTGTTTCTCTCTCTCTTGTCATAAGGCATGAGGTTAAGGCCGAGTGGCCTGCTTAATTTTACCCTTTCAACCCACAATGACCAGAAAATTGAGACCTTAATGTCACTGTGTTAAACTGCCAACGATGATGCTCTGTGGAATCCTGCTGAAAGTATTCCTCCAGGATTCACAGAAAGAGCTGGCTGGCTCGACTTGTGAAGAATACACTAGATTTGTATTCGTTTTACACTCTTTTGTACTGTTTTCATTTTTTTACTGAACTGTGGATTGCCTATCTCGACGAGAGCAGGTGGGGAGGGGTTTGGAAATGTGTCCTTTTTACTATGCTCAGCAGAATTACCATTCATTATCTCAGTTGGACTGTTTGGTTTTTTTAATGCATGAGCCGAACTTACTGCCATTGTACGTCAGAACTGCATCTTATTCAAGATACAACTTCCCCAAGGGGAGGTATGAATTTTTCCTGGAGATCAGACTGTTAACAATGGTTAATTTGGTGCCTGTATTAAATGGGTTCATTTGGTTAAACATTTGTGTGTGGTTTTGTGCAATAACAAATGGCATATTTTGTCGCCCAAATCTGTTTACACATCCCATATCATCTAGTTTGAGACTTATTTCCGCATTATACAATTCACTGTCAGGTTTGCATGATAGTTTATCTGTAGCAATGAGTAACTAAACTTCACAGTAATGTGGCATGTTTTGCTTAGGACAGGTGGCAAAGAACTGATAGAATTACTATTTGAGTGGCATTTATTTAAGGTCGGAAGGAAATTGGTTTAGTCTGGTAACAATCATTCTCATGCTGGTGCATGCAATTCTCATTGAAGCTCAAGGGTATCTGAAGGCAGACAGTAGCTCTGTCTTCCATCCTGAAGACCGCACATACTTTGTGGGTGAGACAGCCCAGCAGCAGGAAACTCAACCATTACAGTTCTAACACCTCTAGTGCTAAAATATATCACATGCTTCTTCCTTTATGAACTTTCAAATTGTTTGTTTGGGGACAGAAGAGAGAAATAGACACAGCTGTAGAAGCTTCTTAAAAAAAACAAAACAAAACTGCAGAGTTCAAAATTCACTTGGGTTTTTGGTCTGAAATCTGAACAAAGTTAGCTAATAAGTTCTTCAGGAGTAATATCCAATGGCTGGATATTATATCCAGTATTATATCAAGGATTTAAAAAAAAAAAAAAGCTATGCAAAGGCAATATTAGTGATCAAACTAGAGAAGAAAGCTCAACCAAATTTTGTTTAACTGTTTGCAGCCTGCCACTGTTCCACTGAAAGTGCCTACTGTCCTGAGTGCAAATATTATGCAGGCAGTGTAGCCTAGTCGTCTAGCCCAGTGGCTCTCAACCTTTCCAGACTAATGTACTCCTTTCAGGAGTCTCATTTGTCTTGTGTACCCCAAGTTTCACTTCACTTAAAAACAAGTTGCTTTCAAAATCATACATAAAAATATAAGTGTCACAGCACACTTACTGAAAAATTGCTGACTTTCTCATTTTTACCATATAATTATAAAATGAATCAATTGGAATATAAATAGTGTACTCAGTGTATAGCATATAGAGCCGTGTAAACAAGTCATTGTATGACATTTTAGTTTGTATTGACTTCGCTAGTGCTTTTTATGTAGCCTGTTATAAAACTAGGCAAATAGCTAGATGAGTTGATGTACCCCCGAAAGACCTCTGTGTACCCCCAGGAGTATGCGTACCCCTGGTTGAGAACCACTGATCTAGCCACTGGAGGGTTCCAATTAAAAGGTGAAGTATGATAGTAAAAAGCTGAGATTGCTAATAAAATTCTGGTAGCCTTAATTAAAAACATGACCTCAGTCTAGTTCTTCGAGAATGAGTGTTCGTGCCACAAAAAAGTAAATGCTAATTGACCACTTGTTGGCAGCCTCAGAAGAGAGACCAACAAATGAATTGCTATGGAGAGTGAATTCCTCTTACCCCTAAATGAGGTCCCGCTAAAGCAGGATTCAGGCAGTATGAGGAACGCTCACTCTGCTTATTTTGCCTGCTGTGTGGCTAAAGGGAGGGCTCAGGCCACAGTGATCTCAAGCCAACACCTTTCAGCAGCACTAACTTTCCACTGTTGCTTTTAAATTATATTTATAATTAAAAGAAAGCTCACTTTTACAAAATCTAACTGGAACATAGGCTTTTCTCCTTTCGTAGCTGAAGAGCATTTCTCTTGCTACATGGATGATTCCAGTGTCAACTGCCTGTTTTGCTTGCTCCTACAGCTGTCCTTTGTGCATTCTTCCCACTGCAAGACCATTACCACGTCTCTTATTTCAAGTCACTTCTCAAGACCCACAACTGTGATGCCAACAACCAACTGCTAATAATGGCTGGTTTGAGACACGAGATGGTTAATACATGTTTCAAGTGCCTTTCTAGAGTGTGAGCTCTTTGGAGAACAGGCACTGTTTCTTGTATGTTTGAAAATCCACCTAGCCTTTGGGATCTCCTGTACATCAAATAAGACCTCTCTATTGCCTGCAGTGGTGCAGGGTTTTGCATTAAATGTTAGTAATGCCTTCTACTCTTGGAGGAGATACTCAAATTCTCCAAAGGCACCGAGTTTCAACTACCGTATTTCAAAATGTATTTACTTTGTGTCACAATAGTCTGTCAATGATGGTTTTACATTTAAAAAGCATTTTGTTCACTTCTTCCTAAACCTCTCCATAGCCTTTGTTATTGACTTAAGAACATCAGAATGGCCATAACAGGTCAGACCAATGGTCCATCTGTCCCAGCATCCTGTCTTCTGACGAGTCAATGCCATGCTGCAGAGGGAATGAACAGCACAGGGCAATTATCAAGTGATTCATCCCCTGTCGTCCAGTTCCAGCATCTGACAGTCAGAGGCTTAGGAACACCCAGAGCATGGGATTGTACCCCTGACCATGTTGGCTAATACCCATCGATGGACCGATCCTCCATGAACTTCTCATCCTTTTTTGAACCCAGCTATACTTTTGGCCTTTGCAACATCCCCGGCAATGAATTCCGAAGGTTGATTGTGTGTTATGTGAAGAAGAACTTGGTTATGTTTATTTTAAACCTGCTCCCTATTAATTTCATTGGGTGACCCTGGTTCTTGTGTTACGTGAACGGGTAAATAACACTTTCTCCACACCACTCATGATATCATAGACTGCTGTCATAGTCTCCCTCGGTTGTCTCTTTTCCAGGCTGAACAGTTCCAGTTTTTTTAATCTCTCCTCGTATGGAATCTGTTCCATACCCCTGGTTATTTTTATTTCCCTTCTCTGTACCTTTTCCAATTCTAATATCTTTTTTGAGATTGGGCGACTGGAACTGCACATGGTATTCAAGGTGTGGGCATACTATGGATTTATATAGTGGCATTATATTTACTGTCTTATCTATCCCTTACCTAATGGTTCCCAACACTGTTTGCTTTTTTGATTGCTGCTGCATACTGAGCAGATGTTTTCAAAGAACTATCGACAGTGACTCCAATATTTTTCTTGAGTGATAACAACTAATTTAGACCCCATCATTTTGTATTTATAGTTGGGATTATGTTTTCCAGTGTGTATTACTTTGTATTTATCTGCAATTTTGTTGCCCAGTCAGCCAGTTTTGTGAGATCCCTTTGTAACTCTTCGCAATCAGCTTTAGACTTAACTATCTTGAGTAATTTTGTATCATCTGCAAACTTTGCCACCTGTTTACCTCTTTTTCCAGATCATTTATGAATATGTTGAACAGTACTGGTCCTAGTACAGATCTTTGGAAGACCCTGCTATTTACCTCTCTCTATTGTGAAAACTGACCATTTATTCCTACCCTTTGTTTCCTGTTTTTTAATCAGTTACTGTTCCATGAAGAGGACCTTCCCTCTTATCCCATGATTGCATACTTTGCTTAAGAGCCTTTGGTGAGGACCCTGTCAAAGGCTTTCTGAAAATCCAAGTACACTATATCCACTGGATCAGCCTTGTCCACATATTTGTTGACCCCCTCAAAGAATTCTAATGGATTGGTGATGTATGATTTCCCTTTACAAAAGCTGTGTTGACTCTTTTCCAACATATTGTGTTCATCTCTGTGTCTGATAATTCTGTTCTTGACTATAAGGGCAAATACAGTGCCCATCTATAAAAAGGGAAATAAAAACAACCCAGGAAACTACAGACCAGTTAGTTTAACTTCTGTGCCAGGGAAGTTAATGGAGCAAGTAATTAAGGAAATCATCTGCAAACACTTGGAAGGTGATAGGGAATAGCCAGCATGGATTTGTAAAGAACAAATTGTGTCAAACCAATCTGATAGCTTTCTTTGATAGGATAACGAGTCTTGTGGATAAGGGAGAAGCTGTGGATGTGGTATACCTAGACTTTAGTAAGGCATTTGATACGGTCTCGCATGATATTCTTATCGATAAACTAAGCAAATACAATTTAGATGGGGCTACTGTAAGGTGGGTGTATAACTGTCTGGATAACCGTACTCAGAGAGTTGTTATTAATGGTTCCCAATCCTGCTGGAAAGGCATAACAAGTGGGGTTCCGCAGGGGTCTGTTTTGGGACCGGCTCTGTTCAATATCTTCATTAACGACTTAGATATTGGCATAGAAAGTACGCTTATTAAGTTTGCGGATGATACCAAACTGGGAGGGATTGCAACTGCTTTGGAGGACAGAGTCATAATTCAAAATGATCTGGACAAATTGGAGAAATGGTCTGAGGTAAACAGGATGAAGTTTAACAAAGACAAATGCAAAGTGCTCCACTTAGGAAGAAAAAATCAGTTTCACACATACAGAATGGGAAGAGACTGTCTAGGAAGGAGTACGGCAGAAAGGGATCTAGGGGTTATAGTGGACCACAAGCTAAATAGGAGTCAACGGTGTGATGCTGTTGCAAAAAAAAGCAAACATGATTCTGGGATGTATTAACAGGTGTATTGCGAGCAAGACACGAGAAGTCATTCTTCCGCTCTACTCTGTGCTGGTTAGGCCTCAGTTGGAGTATTGTGTCCAGTTCTGGGCACCGCATTTCAAGAAAGATGTGGAGAAATTGGAGAGGGTCCAGAGAAGAGCAACAAGAATGATTAAAGGTCTTGAGAACATGACCTATGAAGGAAGGCTGAAAGAATTGGGTTTGTTTAGTTTGGAAAAGAGAAGACTGAGAGGGGACACGATAGCAGTTTTTAGGTATCTAAAAGGGTGTCATAAGGAGGAGGGAGAAAACTTGTTCACCTTAGCCTCTAAGGATAGAACAAGAAGCAATGGGCTTAAACTGCAGCAAGGGAGGT